TATATAATGTCTAATTGTACAAAGTAGGTGCTACTTCTTACTGCTTCTCCCCCACTCTCACCCCACCTTCTTACCATTCCCAGAGCTTCCCTGCCCCTTTCAGCCTCCCTGGAAATGACATCAGGCTGCTCCCTATCCACTCCCTGGGCCTATGTGTCCTCTGCCTCCTTCAGCTACAGAACCTTTCACCTCCCTCTGCCTGAGTAAATCCTGCCCGGTTTTCAAAGCTTACACCTTTCCCCAGCTTTTCCTGAAATCAGGGATGAATCGTGAGCCTCTCTTCTTTGCCCATTCAGTCCAAGACTAAGATCTAGTCCCAATGTCCTGTATTCATTGAACAAAATGTCTTACTTAGGCCAGCCGTGGGCCAGGCTAAGGTGTATGACCACAGGGACCTTTGGAGCAGACTCTTTGGTCAGAGGCAAACAGGGAAACATAAATCATCAAGTGCAACCACAAAGGACAGGGGCATTGATACAAGTTCATAATAGGAGAGAATAAGGAGAGTCGGCTCAATCTGATGGGCTTTGCTAGGGGGTGATACTTTTTGGAGGTCTTGTTGTATGACCCTGAGTAAGTCACGTAACCTCTCTGAACCTAGGTGCCCCATTTGTATTAATCTCTCCACTGGGATGTAATGAGATTAATTAAGTTATTCAGGTGAATTTGCGTAGCCAGAAACATGCAGCAGGTGCTCAATAAATGTCCGTTCACAATGAGGACTTGATACAGAGCTGTGGGTAAATACACTGTCTTAGGGCTGCACTGGGAGGGTTCGCTTGGCCACGGGACTCATCTCAGGGGTCTGTTCTTCCCGTTTGAGGACTAAATTGCTGTGCACCCATTACTTCCATCCAAAGGCAAGTTTCTTGCAGGGTCTGATTGCCTGGGTCTCGATTCCCCAGAGTCCAGGGGAACATGCTGGACTGGAATGAAGGGGCGTGACAAGTGCTTACAAGGAAGGAAGCTTTTTTGTGAATCACCTTTGCCTCCCGTGTGCTGAAGCAGTGGGATGGACTGGGAAAATGCCTCCTTTTACATCCTGTTGCTGGGCATGCCACAGACCTGCTACTGTTCAAGTTGCAAATTACTGTGCCTTGACAGGGACAACTTCGCATGAGACCCAAAGAACAGAGGGTTCTGGGTGATGTCACATGAAGTTTAAGAAATGCCAAGGGCACCAGGCCTGACCTTTGGGTTATTCATCTTCCTCGTGGACAAGACAGGCTGGCTCAAGGCTGGGTGGGGCCAAGGTCGGGCCTGGTAAGTGTCCTTTGGTGGCAGGGATAGAACAGGAGCTAATGTCCTCAAATTTCAGCAATTTAAAGCTGAGAGAATCTTTGGACATCATCTAGTTCAAATCCCCCCACTCTTTTGGGAGGGGGAAACTGAGGCTCAGAAAGGTTGAGAGACTTGCCCAAGTTCACATAGCTATGGCAGGAGTTATAAAGCTAGACCTAGAACCTGAGTCTCCTGACCAAGTTTGAGAAGCACTGCCATAATTTACCTCACTTTGGAGGAGGGAAAACCAAGGCAGATAAGGGAAGTGACTCCTACCCACAGGTCAAGTGGTGGAGCTCTGATGGAACCTTGGGCAAAGTCTTGAGATTCAGGAAATTTCTTCCCATTAGTGGCAGGCCAGGGGGAGATAGGATCTCAGACCTCTAAGAGCAAAGGAGTTACTGATGGAAAGATTATCATGAGCACTTTAAAACATACTTTCATGTCTATTATTTTATTTCTACTTTACAACTTGCTAATTATCCCAACTTTTCTCAAGAAGAAACTGTAGCTCAGAAGTATCTAAGCCATTTGTCCAAGCTGCACTGCTGGTCATTTCTAGAGTCTGGGCCTGATGCTGATTTTTATTACTTGATTGTTTCCCCAAGAGCAGGGTGGCATCGTTGTTGGCAGGAAAGACAACTGTAGGTGGTACACAGACGAAAGTCTCCCATCTGAATTGTCATATATTTTACTTCCACTGAAGAAAAAAAAAGGAATTATGATCAAACCCCAGATATTAGTGCTTAGAATAAGGGATTTGGGTTTTTTTTTTTTTTTTGAGTTGGAGTCTCACTCTGTCACCCAGACTGGAGTGCAGTAGCATGCTCACAGCCAGCGCAGCCTTGACCTGCTGGGCTCAGGTAATCCTTCTGCCTCAGCCTTCCAAGTAGCGGGAACCACAGGCATGCGCCACCATGTCTGGCTGGTTTTTAAAAATTTATTGTAGAGACAAGGTCTCGCCATGTTTCTCAGGCTGGTCTTAAACCCCTGGCTCAGGCAATTCTCTTACCTCCACCTCCCAAAAGTGCTGGGATTACAGGTATGAGTCACCGTACCCGGGCTGCTCTCTTCTATTTCTTCCTTTTTCTAACTTTGTCCAGGACCTTTAACAGCAATTCTTATTTTTTATTTTTAGAGTTTGTTTTTGTTTTTGAGACAGAGCCCGGTTCTGTCACCCAGGCTGGAGTACAGTGGCACAATCAGGGCTCATTGCAGCCTCAAATTCCTATACTTAAGCGAGACTCCCTCCTTAGCTTCCCAAGTAGCTAGGACTACAAGTGTGCCACACCATGCCCTGCTAGCAACCATTTTTTGTTGGGCCTTTGAACTTTGAATAAATGTACTTTCTCTGGTGTACTATGGTATCATTCAGGGATTACAAGTAAAAAATTTTGCAAAATAAACAAAAAGTCTTCTAAGAGTCTAGAAGACAGGTATCGTAAAGAGTGAGGACTGTTATTTTAGAAAAGAGAAATCAGGGAAGGGACAAGAAAGATCCCCATCTACTTTTTAGAAATACAGTATAAGTCAACAAGTATAATACAGACTTATACTGTATTTCTAAAAACTGAAAGCAAGCGAGGAAGATACAGAGAAGTCAGCTTCAGCTGTGTGACCTTGGTCAACCAAAAAATGAGGACAATAGTACTTACATCATAGGGTAGTTGTAAGGATGAAGTGAAGTGTTAAGGAAATACCTAGCATCTCATAAAATCTCAGGATATACTTGTTTCCTTTTTTGGTCTCATTCAAAAATGTCTCATGAGGCAGTCACTCCTCCTCTGGAAAATTTCAAGGTAGAATTTTAATTCCTTACTGCCGAATTCTGTGCTTCAGTGCTGCCTGTGACTTTTCATAAAGAAAAATACTGGTTCACATGGAGCCCTCACCGTGCTCCCCACACGAAAGAGAAGGGCTTTACGTAGGTATTTTGTTTAATCTTCTCATCAGCCTTATGAGGTAGGTACTATTATAACCCTCTTTTTTTTTTTCAGATGAGAAAATCATTGCTCACAGCGGTGAAGTAACTTGTCCAAGGTCACCCAATCAGTAATTAGCAGACAGGGACTTAAAACCAAACTGTCACCCTCCAAAATCCCTGCTGTTAGAATTGGAGGAATTATTTATCAAATCTCAGTTCCTCTTCCAGGCCTGCCTGCTCTTATAGTCCTGCCTTTATTGAGCTCTCTCTTCTCTAAAACTACAGCTCTCAGTATAAAAATCAAACAAATTAGCACTTATCATGGTGTGAATGGCTTCTTGTCACTCCTATTTTACTGGAAGTAGGTCTGGTGATTTTTTTTCTTTAAATATACCTCTGTACTCAGTAGGCCTTTGGAAGAACAAATTCATAGGCTTCCAATAATTCTTGACCGCCAGCTGAATTAGACAGAAGGTAACTTCTGCTTCCTGGTCATGCCCAACCTCATCTTTTTTCCTGTGCCATTAGAGAACAGTCTTTTCTTGGCTGGAACAAATACTACAGCCTGTTCAACTAGCAAATATTTATTGAGTTCTTAATATGTTCCAAGGACTGTTCTAAGTACTTTATATGTATTAACTCACTGAATCTTAAGTACCCTATGAGCTAAGTCCTATTTTTATCCCCATTTTACAAAAGAGGAAACTGAATGTACCGATGCATCAGTATTTGTTTGACTGAGTAAATGAATGAATGCTTTGCTGATGGATAATATTATTAGCAGCAACAACCATATAAATATCTTATGCTTGCATCTTGCAATACAGCTTAATGTACATTATGTCACTGTCATTCACCATTATTAGCAAATAGGCACTAATGTTCCTATTTTATAGAACAGGAAACCATGGCTCTAAGAGAGTGAGTGATTCTCAACAGTCACACAGTATGTGCTGTCTGTATCCTTGAGTGAACACTGCATTTTCTCCATTCTAAGGTGGGGGAGGGGCAAGAAAGATGGAAGAGCCTCTGGGAGACAAACACCTATATACCCAAAAGGCACTCTATCAATATTAGATAAATAAATAAAAGCTAGTCATAGCAGAGTTTTGGTAGGAATTCAGATCTTTGATTCCTAGTCCAGTGCTCTTTCTAAGATGGTGAGAAGCAGGTCTTAGGTCCAGATCTGGCAACAGCTTTCATTTAGGTTCTTAAGTCAGAAGAAGCAGCAATAAAAAAAAAAAGGGCATCATTTTCACTTCTTTGCACTGTCCACATTTTCAATAAAAAGCATGCACTACTTTTATAATCATAAACAAACAAGTAAATAAATGGAAGGGGCAAAATAGCTTATAGAGGGACCCTTGTACTATTCTTGGGATTGCTCTGCACCCCTGTATCTGTGACCACTCTGATCTATCCCCACAGGCCACCTGGCCCACCTTATGGGCTGAGGAGAGCTGGATGGCCAGGTAGAAGCAGAGCTGGGGAGGAGGTGGGGAGGACTGCCAGAAGGTCCTGAGTGAGGCTGCACTGAGCAGGAACAGACACAGGAGTTCCAGGATTTTGCAGGTTTGTAAACTCCCTGAATTATAAGCTGAATGCTGTGTGTGTAGTTTCCAAGGAAAGGACCCACAACTTTAACAAAGGGACACCCATGACCTTCAAAAGAGTAACCCCGGATTATACTGATGAACTAAGTCATGAGGGTTAGGGTGACTGGTCAAATGAGAGTCAGGAACTCTAAAAAACTTGCATTCTCTGAGAATACCTGGCAGGGGGAGAGAATAGGACAATGGCCTGCATCATGGACTCACAGTATTAAATTCTTTTTTTTTTTTTTGGAGTCGGAGTCAAAGTCACCCAGGCTGGAGTGCAGTGGCACAGCTATTGATTGCAGCCTCTACCTGCTGGGCTCTGGCGATCCTTCTGCCTCAGCCTTCTAAGTAGCTGGAACTACAGGCTCATGCCACCATGCCTGGCTAATTTTTAAAATTTTATTGTAGAGAAGAGGTCTTATCAAGTTGCCCAGGCTGGTCTAGAACCCCTGGGCTCAGGCAATCCTCTCGCCTCCACCTCCCAGAGTGCTGGGATTATGGGCGTGAGCCACCATGCCCACCTAAATTCTGCTTTTTTTCCCTGCACTCACTCTCACCCCTATTCCAAAGCATCAGAGGAAAGGTAAGAGATTATTAACTTCATTAAAACTTCCAGGCTGGGCTCAGTGGCTCAGCCTGTAATCCCGTGCTTTGGGAGGCCGAGGTGAGTGAATTGCCTAAGCCCGTGGGTTGAAGACCCACCTGGGCAACTTGACGAGACCTCATCTCTACAATAAATCAAAAAATTAGCCGGGCATGGTAGCAGCGCGCCTGTAGTTCCAGCTACTTGGAAGGCTGGGGCGGAAGGATCGCCGGAGCCCAGCAGGCCGAGGCTGCGGTGACTGGGAGCGACCACTACACTCCAGTCTGGGCGACTGAGTGAGACTTCAACTCAAAAAAATAAAAAATAAATAAATAAACTTCTGCATCCAGACACCCTCCTCTTCCTCCTAGCCTTTTGGCTAATGAACTCTATCCTTACCTCATAGACTGCATGGCTACAGCTTTCGATATTGCCTCTTACACAGTGTAGAAGGTCCCAACTTACGCTGTTGCCAACTTTCTCCCCAGGTGTCTCCTAAAAAGTCAGTTGCTCTCTTGTCTCAGCAAGCACTGAATTCCATTCCACCAACACTGATTCGGCTCTCACTAAGTAAGGGTGTTGTGAGAGAGACAGATGGTTGGATAAGGCCCCTGAGTCTGGCCTGAGAGTTGGCAGGCTAATGGCAGGACTGAGGACACTCATGTGCCAGACTGGGGGAGGGAAAATGGCACAAGCATGAGAACCCCCTGGAGGGCAATGGCTAACGGGCTGGGGGATTAAGGGTAGCATCTTGGAGGTGCAGAGCTGTGTGAAGGTAAAGGATTCCTATACAAAGAATGAGAGGCAGTGGGGGGCTAGAAAGGAAGGGGAGAAACAGTGTTAGAGGTGGTTATGGCCAATTGGCCAAACCAAGAACCTTTGTATTCCACTATGGAACTTTGGTTTTTATCAAGATAGTGCGTAGGTGGTGTTGAAGGTTTTTAAAAGATCACATTATAAAGGATGAGAGCAGGAAGGGGGCCTGGACACTGGGACACAGGATGCTACAGTAGAACAGGGAGGAGATTTGGGGGAGATAATGGGGCTCTTTAAATACAGCCATGGGCAGGACAAGCTACAGAATTTGTGGGGCCCAGTGAAAAGGAAACTGCAGGTTCTCTTGTCCAAAATTATTAAGACTCTAGAAACAAGAGCACTAAAGCAAGTGTGGGGCCCTTCTAAGAAAATGGCCTTGTTCGGCTGCACTGGTCAGACCCATGAAGCCAGCCTTGGCCACAGGACCAGACAGGGCAGGTCAGAAGAGAGATCTGGGAAGCTAAGTTCCAGGATTTAGAAATCTGTTGGCTGTGTCCAGCTGACAGGTGACGGCCTACACTGATTGCCAGGCCACCCTTTTGCTGGCTGGGCACCCTCTTTGGGTGGCTGTGATCAATTTTAACTTATTAATATGTCAAGACTTCATCCACTCCTCTTCTTGCTATCCCCCAGACCCATTCCTGTGGGTCCCTATCTAAAGATACCCCAGTCACTCTAGTTAAAAACTCTGGTGTCAACCTCTATTCCTCCCTTCCCATCCCAACTCTTACAGCAGTTTATTTCCTAAATGTTCTCCCATTCCTTTGGCCTCCTCATAGCTGCTGTCACTGCCAAGTTCCAGCAGGCTCTTATCAGCTCGGGCCTAGATTTCCCACAAAAGTCTCTCATCCATTTCCCTGACTCTGGTCTGGACCCCACCCCCACTCTCAAATAAATGTCTATTTGAGGACTTCAGTGATGTCCTCAAAGACTAACGGGGACCTCTCAGTGGGAACTGCCGGGCCAAAGATCTAAATACCTTAAACAACACACGAGGCTCTCTGTGGCCTGACCCTATTTAATTTTCTGATGAATGCCCAAAGAGCCTTAGTCTCCCACACACCTCCAGGACACATCATGTGGAGTTTTGTTTTGTGTTTTCTTTACCTCAAGCAGTTTCCTCTGCCTGGAATCTCCCCTCCCTCTTCAGGGCCTGGGGCTTACCTCAATTCATTCTTTAGAGTCCTCCTCAGCTCTCAGCTCTCATCTCCAGGAGGCCTTCTCCGGTCCACGCCCCCATCCTGCCATACACACCCTGGGTGCTTTTCCACACTGACAACAGGCCTTTAAAGCCTCCTCTCTCTGGGCTGGGGGCAGCTGGAGCAGAGAGTGAGTCCGGTTCACTTTGGTGTCACCAGTGCCCAGTACAAAGCCTGGGTGTTCCACATGGGTGTGTGACTCTGGGATGAAATATCTAGCGGTAGATAGTGCTGGTAACAGAGAACATGCTGGAGGAGGAGCAAGATGCAGGGAAGGCTGGCATAGATAACCTCCTCCCCCCAAAAAAATCCATATTACAATTCCATCAAGACCCCATTGGCAACGGGAGGACAGCGCCTTTGGCTGAATGCAGCTGTGACCCAGAGTCAATGCCAGTTGTCCTGGTGTCTTATTTGATTGCATTTGATTTCAGAATTTGATTTCAGCTTCCTTCTGAAAACCTCATTCCCTTATGTCAGTTGTCAACAAGCCCCTCTCTAGTGGAGGCAGGCTGTTTTCCATCCAGCTGTCTCAGCCAGGCTAACAATAAAATGATTGGTAGTGATCTAGGGGGCAGAAACATGTTTTCCTTCATGTGTCCCTGCAGCTAACAGAGCCCTGGCACAAAGCTGACTCTCCATAAACACTTGCTAAATGGGTGAATCTGTCTGGTTCCCCAGAAATAGGGGGTAAGAGGCCTGAAGCCCCTGGGGACCAGTGGGGGCAGACAGCTTGGGATTATACTTAATCCACAGATAATCCCCCCAAATCCAGAAGCCACCTGGACAGCAGTTGGTTGGACTGAGCGCCATCGTGGGATGCGTGTGGATGCTGTCGCTGTGTTCACAACAGGTTTCCCAACAGGGATCCGAAAATGGTTCCCCCCAAAACAATTTACTATCCTAATTATTACTGGAGAGTGTCAGAAAAAAGGAAGTCAACCATTTGAGGGCAGAATCCAGTTAGGGAGATTAATTGTTGGCTCTTGTCTTCCGTCCCTGTCTCTCGGTTTTTACTTTTAGAAACTTTTATTATAGCAAATTCCAAACATTCAGAAAAGTGGAGAAAACCGCATAAAGAACTCCCGGGTACCCATCACCCAGCCTCAACGATAACCAGACGCGCCCAGTCCCGTGTTGCCCCCATCCCTTGAAGCAAATCTTAGCCATCATCTCCTTACACGCGGCAAGACTTCCTAACAACAGGAATCCGCTTCGGACTCGTGCGGGGGACTGGATGGCTCCCCCTGCCCTGCTTCCCGGCACCATCCCTAGCAGGCCCTCTGCCCACGTCTAGGAAACTGACGGCGACGTCTCCTCCTCTGCTTCCCCCCTTCCCGCACAGCGTGGGTCACCTCGGCCCCGCAGCGTTCCCGACACCACCAAAGGCGCGGGTGATGCGCGAGTGAGTCCCTCAGCGCCGCGACAAGGAGAGAACCAGGAGGCGCCGTGCACTTCCTCTCTCTCGCGCTGACTAACGCGCGCCCGCCCTGAGTGTTCCGCTCCCCGCGTTGAGACGGAGCCCCGCCCACCCCCCGCCCACGGGGGCGTGGCCACGCCGTGAAGGGGCGGGTAAATACCCATATTTGGCCTTATATGGGCAGTCACGTCACCGGCCGCACTCATTCACATAAAACGCTGCGCGGCCGGCGGAATCCCCGGCTTCTGGGGCGGCGAGTGGCCGGGCCGGG